ACGTCCGCGTGGCCGTGCGCGCCCGGGCCAGGTCCTCCCCTCGGGGACCCCCACCCCGCTGCCGTCTGAAGATACTTTATTTGCTTGATAGAAGATCATTTATTTGCTTGATAGGACGCGTGGGGGCAGAGCCGGCCCGAGATGCACACTGAGGGAAGGCCGCTCTTAACACACTTCTCTGCGCGACCTTGCACGTCACCGGGCCCCACCTGACGGCTCCCGGAGCACGAGTCCGCGTGAGCTCGCCCCGCCCTGCTGCAGCGCGGGGCTGTGCGTGCTGCTCACGTCACGGCCGCAGTGACAGGGCTGGGGGGTTGGGTAACCTGCGTGCAACGGTGACCACCGGGATCCTTCGGGGACCTTGGCAAAGGGCTGTCCCCAGAGGGCAAGGCAAAGCAAACGGTTCCGTGAGTCTCCAACTATTCCGTCACCTCCGGTGTGTGAACCAGCCTTCGGGGTGTCCACGGTCCTCTGAAATGCCACCGCGCATCTCCGCAAAGCCGAGCGCACCAAGGAAAAGGTGTAAAAGCTTCAGGCCTGTCGTTTTAAGGGAAGCCTGTGTCTTTGCTCCCCACACCGTCCTGTTCTGATTTGCTTCGGGCTTTTCCAGGCTGTTGCAAGAAAGAGCCACGTGTGAAGTCTCGCTTTCGAAGCAGCTCACCTCCTAGCCCCCGCTGTGGCTCGCCATCCCGAGCGGCGGGTTCCTGGCGCAACACGGCAGGCAGTGTGGCGATTCTCAAAGTGGGGTCCCGGGCACCCTGCCGGGGCCCGCTTTGGCGCTAATCCCAAGACCCGGTGCGTCCACTCGTGCTACAATGAACGCACGGCGGAGTCACGGGGCTGTGGACGCGTGATCACACGAGAACCCGGCAGGACGGAGCCCACCCCTCGTCTCTGATTTGTTGGTTTTAGCAAATACCGTTATTTTTCATTAAAAACATGTTAACGTGATGGGTGTATTGTTCGTTTTCCAGTTTATTTTTTTACTCATGTCTACACCCGATGCGGGGCTTGAACTCACAACCGCGAGATCGAGAGCCATGTGTTCTTCTGACTGAGCCAGCCGGGCGCCCCAGCGTAATGGGTGTATTGTTAGTGTCACGGGTTTGTTGTCATTTTTGGATGTGTTAATACACGTTTTTTAAGTCACTTGGAATTTCTACTGAGGTTAACATCCAGAGAGGCCGTAAAAACAGAAGCGGGTCCTCGGAGTGTCAGGGAGGCGTTGAGGCCCCACGGCAGCGAGGGGAGAGGGCTCTGGGGCCTCCCTGACCCGGCAGGTCTCCTTGTGGCTGGTCGTGAAGCTCCTGGGGAAATCTTGGTCGGTCGTCCGTAAAACACAGGTCCTTCTGGTTCTTCTCTCCTAAAGCTCGTGAGGTTTGAGTGGAGCAAAATCCAGATAAAGTGGATCATTATGTTAGCATTGGGGAGAAGGACTCTAAAGCAAACAGTGTCTGAACAGGTTCCTGAACGTTTTCTACCCCCAGACCCTCTCACGGTAACAGACCACTGTGAGGAGAAGGAATGGACGTATTTCTGGTTATCGACCAAGTCGTCTGTGTCTCAGGGGTCCACAAGGATTGTAACAGCCAGAAGGAGACCTCTTGCGGTTTAAAATTCAGACTCCATGTTGGTTCTGGCTGTTGGACGATTTACCGCCCCCTCGCGTGAAGTCATTTGAGTCAAAACACGGGAACAAAGCACAGCATGTGGGAAGAAGGTGTGATTTGGAAAAGCAGGGCATCGATCTCTTTGCCTTTGGACATTTTTCTGAACATGCGCTGAAGTCGTCATACCGAGGTAAAGCCGAGACACTGAGGAGCTCGTGAGAAAAAGGAACTTTCTTAAAATAGCGACTGGTTTCCGGGCACCATGGTGTGATCGCCGGTGCTGCCTCAATAAGCGGCCTCCGTGGGGATGAGCTGGTGAGCGCAGTGTGTCTGTACTCAGGATTTGGGGGGATCCCTGTGGGACCCCAGCCTCCCACAGAGCAGGCTCAGCATCCCGCAGGCTGCACGGTTTTCCCTTCCCTTCAAACCTGCACAGCACTTGTGCTGATTTTAGTGGGGCCTGGATATCGTCTTGCTTCTTTACTTTGGTGATTTAAATATTTTCTGCTTACGTCTTTGTTTGTCCTGGAAACAGTTTCAAGGGTTGTCATAACAAAAAGTCCGCGTTCCTACACTTAACTCTGATACAACAGTGGGAGAAAAAATGACCATGAATTCTCAAATGGTGGACCACACCGTGTTCGTGTTTGTTCAGAATCTGAAAATCAAACAAATGTCACGGCATCGTCTGGTGACAGGTGATAGCGACGCTCGTGAGCACAGCATCCCCCACAGACGGGTCGAATCGCTGTGCTGTGCACCTGACGCTGATGTGACAGTGTGCCAAGTGTAATGTTTCAAAAAGGAGCATCGAGGGGCGCCTGGGTGGCACAGTCGGTTAAGCGTCCAACTTCAGCCAGGTCACGATCTCGCGGTCCGTGAGTTCGAGCCCCGCGTCGGGCTCTGGGCTGACGGCTCAGAGCCTGGAGCCTGTTTCCAGTTCTGTGTCTCCCTCTCTCTCTGCCCCTCCCCCGTTCATGCTCTGTCTCTCTCTGTCCCAAAAATAAATAAAAAACGTTGAAAAAAAAATTTAAAAAAAACAAAAAACAAAAAGGAGCATCGACGTAATTGGAAAGTGAGACAGCACAGGCAAAAAATACGGACAGTTCTGAGTACGTATATGGGCTTTTGCATAACTGACCTTGCAAATCGACCAGCTTATAGTTGAGGTAACTTTTGTGACCTCCAGATGAAACATACTCATGGGTTTTAGAGTCCGGAGACCCCAGGAATACAGTGTGAAACTGATAACCCGATCCCAGGATTCTGGTCCTCCTGTTTTCCTGTTTCACACGTAGCTACAGCCCCACTGTTGGGTTCTGGGCCCAGCACGCAAAATCCCACGCAAATGACCAAGTTACAGCTGGCTGTTACTTCTTGACTGTAGTTGCTTTTCTGTCGCGTCCCCAATTCTGGAGGGAAGTTTGGCTGGCTGTCCTAGTGTGGTTTTCCTTCCTGGTAACTGTCACCAGCGGCTCGATTCAACCACACAGACTGTAACGGATTCTGTAACAGCCAGCGGGCCGCGACAGTGCAGGTGATGCGCGCTGCTCTCCCACGGTCCCCGCCAGGCCAGGCCACTGTTTCCAGCTTCCAGTTTCCCAGGGGCCGAAGGGTTCGAGTAGAAGAGGTGGCTGGCAGGGAGCAGGGATGCTGTCATCTGGATGCTTGAGCGGAGTCTGAAGAGCAGAGTCCTGTGGGGG